ATCTTATCCAAAATTATGGCGAAAATTGTGCAAATTTTAATTTTTGATACAGGAAGGTTTTTTTTTTAAAAAGAATTGTCACAGTTATGTAATATTAACGCTATAAACGATTCGGTCGAATTTCTATTGTGCTTGGTCGTTAGTGAATTTGAATCAATCAATATTATCTGTGGTCTAAGTACGTGAAACCATAATGTTAAAAACACATTCAGGAAACAGCGAAATAATGCGGATTTCAGTGGACATTTTTCAGTATTGTGTAACAATACTGTGTAGTTATTGTATTATTTCCAAGGTCTTACAAAAAAAGAAAAAAAAAGACTTCAAATGAAATGAAAATATTACTGAACAGAATATTATTACTATGCCGCCACAAATACCAACACGACAGCTATGTACCGAAATTGCCTAACCGGAGAGCCGTTCAAACTAAATATCAGATACCCGCAAACTTACACAGCCAACAAGTCTATGGAAATACCACATAATAAAATGATTCCGGTTGTTTCTGATGATTCTGTTTTACAAGTCTACCGCACACGGCTACATATACTTCATATTAGCAAGAATATGAAACGTTTTAATGTCCAAGAAGTCGTCGAAAATGTTTCCTGTATATTATCAATTAATATACAGTGTTTATTTATTTAAATATTAAATATAAACGTATTACTTAGCTGCTGTTTTACGGAAGTAACAATCGTAAAGTCAGGTTCTATTTTTCACAGGAATAAAAACAAGAAAATTATACATCTATAACGTCAACCGGCATGAATCTGTATATTTTCTCAGAATAGCCATTATTAAATAATTTAAAGGTTGCATTTATTTTGATAGAATCTAAATATAAAAGGTACTCAACAAATGGAAGCAATTAATCACAAACCCGTTTTTTTAATTGACATGCATTTTAAAAAGATATATTAATAATTATACCGGTTTAAGTCAATCAGTTTACATTAAAACTTCCTAAGTCGAGGTCGACACGTAGACTTTATTGATTTTATATTTTTGTAGAATTATTTAAAATATATCTCATAATAAGCAATTAATTAAAAAAAATATGGAAATTTAGGGGAAAACACGTGTCTTTATGGCATGCAACTTTAAAGCTTTAAGTGAATGAACAGCTATATCGGATACAGTTCTGAAACTCTTCACTGCACTTTTACATGCCAATTTAATTGTAATAAGACCCTAAATAACAAAATACGTCCAATGGTTTTGGAAATCTGCGGGACTAAAGAAAAATTTAGCAAAAATTGATAATTTTTTAAATTTATAATTTGTATCTTCTTGACAAGAAATGTTGGTCTTTCTAATGAGCTTATAGTCAACTTTTTATTTCTTATAGTTAAAGGGAAAATTGAAAATTAAGCGTTTATAAGATGTAACACACTGACAAATATATTCTATCTGCTCACTATTAGTGTGTAGTATTTTGATTTTATTTCCTACTCACAAGCTCTTAACGTTATCAACATCAAATTTTGCATGATTTCAATTAATTAAAAAAAAACCAAAAAGGTAAAATAAATATTAACAAAAGATTCAAAATGAATAGAAAAAAAATAGAACTACACTTAAAAATCATTTATAGAATGCAAAATCCACCTTATTAATATTATTAAACTAAAACAAAACAAATTGTAATAATAGTTTGTAAATACATTTTTGAAAAAAAATTACTTTTTCAATTTAAATAAATATATGTTGTGAAAGTAATGATCGACCAGCAGGGTTAATTGGAATTTTCTATTTTATTTTTGCAAAGTTCCAATTCTTCCAACACTCCTGCTGATAAAGCATTGTAATATATTTGATAGTGTTTATTGTTTAGGGCCGAAGGGTGTAAACGACTGTTGTGAAACTAGTAAACGACATAACATTTTCGTCGGTTCCGTCTAAATAATCCTTTTGGGACAAGCTGAACAGCGGTCGGCGATTTTGCTTATGTGAATGTGAAAATGGTTAAAAAATAACACTATGTTTGAGCCTGTGTGAGTAATTGTTGTTTACGGCGTTCAGTGTGACCCTCGATGAATAACCTGGGGAATACTTGTTGATTCAACATGCGCATTGAACGGGACCAGGTCGATAGGCTCACGTGAACGCATATTAGACCCGTATATATGTATATATATATTATATATTTACTTACCGCAGCAGCCCTTTTCGCCTTGACACACGTCCGGTTTTCTATATTTGCTCAATGAATAACCCAGCACAGTGGAGTTGGCGGGGCAGGTTTTCAGGTAAATTATCATAGCCGAAAGTGATCCATGCGGATTTGTAGATGGTGGTAATATTGAATATCGACAAAAACATTAAAATGTGTTTACAATATTGTCTTTTTAGTATTATTAGGGTGGATACACGATTGGGGTCCATTGTTTGTCAGCAACATGATGACAATATTTTTCTGCTGACCGCTGATACATTGGCACATAGCACAATCTGGACATTTCGTACGGTCTAAGTGTGGTTGAGAAAATTGTACATGTCATAACCCCATGTTATATCTAGGTCTTTCAGTCTAAATTTCAGACCTCGAGTATGAGTCGTCGGTTGAAAAATATGTAAACTTTTTGGGTGTTTTCGAAGAGGAAAGGGTGAGTTTTTCAAAATTCTTTTCCATATAAAGTACTATTCAGGCGCGATTTCTGATCGGTAGATTAGTTACTATAGAAGGAATCGGTTAAGCAGTATAGAAGCTATCGTGGGTACACGTCATTATTGTAAAAAACAATACCTACTCAGGTCCGCACAGAAGCTAAAAAAAAAACGATTTAAATGTGCAGCTAATATTATTTCAAAGAACTGTTCCAAAGACAACTTATGCGATATTTCATCGAAGCACTTTTCGTTTGTCGGGCGGTTTGCCGACTGTTTCCGGTTGAGAGAATGTGTTTTAGTTTAAAACCAGACCATTCAGTTTCAAACATTCCAACATCAAAAGGCTCAGCTCGAAAATAGCGGTAAAGAAATTCACGTGGACACGCATCAGCGACCAAATTTGAATATTCAAAGTTTATAATAATAATTGCGTTAAGAAGAAGAAGAAGAGTATTTTCGTAACGATACCGCCTGGTTTTGACGTTTGTCGAGGTTTTGATTTCGGTTAAAACGTTTCAATATTTGAAAAATAAAAAAAACAATCAGATCATTTCAAATGGGAAACAGGTTAACATAGAAGATAGTATAGTAGCTTATATAATATATATATAGTAGGCACAACGTGAGTAATTTGTTTTTTTTTTTTTTTTGTTTAAAGGTATATTGTAACTTAAGGGTAAAGCTTAATTGATACAAGTGAAATTTCCCCAGGGACAATACGTTTAAATGGCATGTCCCCAATTATAACAACGGTATGCGATTCTTAAGCCGGCAAGGACCGCCCGCGATAATCACACCGTGTGAACTTTGCACTGTATCTCCGTAATATTGAAATCCCACGGACGCCGCCATTGATTAAATCCGCTGTACACTTGCATACTTAATCATCGTTACCAAATCCGAAGCTTGCCAGAATAGATTATAATATATGTACGTGTTTTATATAATTACCGAGTGTACAGTTTAACGTGTGTACAAAGAACTCGAATCCTTACATATTATATTAGTGCACGCGGTAACAATATATTAACATAAGAAAGAAAAGGTTTACATTTTGTCCACCCGACGAAATTCGAATTTTTCTTTTGTGCAGTAAAATAAAAAAGTTATTTTTTTAATGTAATTTTATTTTTTTTTAAAAACCCAGTACAGTGGGGTCGGTGAGGTCACGTGTCTTTAGGAATTATTATAAACGCTTCGATGCGAATCTGTGGATATTAGGTTCAAACCAGTGTAGTCCAAACCAACTACAGTAAGAAAGTATTATACGTAATTGCGTAGTAGTAGTAAGTGGGTAAGTTTAAAGAATTTTGAGAAAGTTGTATATGTTAGAGTCACATTCTAGATCTACCTTCAGTGTAATTTTTAGTCATAAAACCTTAAAATTTAACAAAAAAATCGAAATAAAGAAAAAGTTTCCACCCCTTCTAGGGGAGACGGTTTAAGATATTTGTTTGGGTTGTCGACGTTTATCGGTATTACTGTGTCTGATGTTATACAAATTTGGAACTTCACTCACACAGAGCAACATAGAAATTTGTTTGGGGAAGGGCGGTTTCCCTAATAAATAAAAAGTTCGACTTCAGTTTAATTTTCAAACCTCAAGTCCTTATATTTTGTCCTACAAGTCTTATTACTATCTTAATATGGTTGATGATAACTTAAGAAAATCACACCGAAATATTGGGGAGGTTGCTATTGCTTAAGTACACATTGTATACACTGTATTGATAAAAAATATGCAAGTAATGAATATATTTTTAAGCCATACAAATTCATAAATGAAAACGGACTAGCGTTTTAAAATGTTCAGAAAAGCCATAAAAAAGCAGTTTTTTTTAAAATTAAATTAAATTTTATTCACCACAGCTTGATTTCGAGTGAACAATTCCATCTAAACGCTTAATACGATTTTTTTTTTTTTTTAATTTATGTACTCAAAGTATTTCAATAATACCATTTCCTTATGAATATTGCGTTCCACGGTAAATATTATATTATATGCACGTACTCGAAAGTTAATAAATAATATATATTGTTTAATGTTCGAGTTCAAAGCAGCAGAACGGTAAATATTCGATATTGAACTTATCACTATATTGACTTTGATGAAACTTTGATAAATATATTAATTTATCTCTAACCCGAAAAAAAAAACTCAAGTTATTGAAGTTTGGTTGTGTCAACACTGCAGTTGAACGCTAAGTGTTTGAAACCCTAATTAAATGTCTAAACGCATTTTTTTAAAAGCATTTTTCGGACGGTTTTTTAAAAAGTCTTAAAAATAAATAATCCAACAACTGTGTAATATGTTTCCATCGCTTATTCGGCGCAGTATAATTATTATTTCTAATGTAAACGAAACGCGTTAAGGTGTGACTTACCTCAATATTTGTTTGACTGTCATTGGCTTGTTTGGAATGTGAGGAAGTAATATTTTTTGCGCACCCTGCAAAAGTAAATTAATTAATTTTTGTCACTCCAGCAGTGGAATTGTTTTACATTCTTTGTAAAAAGGTTCTTCAAGTTAAACAAAGTGAACGGTAAGTAATTTCGTGTTTACTACGACAACAGTATTGTTTACATTTATTTCAATTAATATAAAATATTTGTTTTTTGTTTATTTTTATTTATTTAAAACGTACTTCGAGTTTGAAATTAAAATGCCGGATGGGCGTGAGGGTAAGAAGAAATATAAGACAATAATTGTAACGCGAATCGTTATACCTTTGGGCTTTGTGAATGGAGAACGGACAAAAAAAAATTTAATTTGAAAGAGTGTACAATATTTTTTTGTATATTATTATTATGTTACACGTTGTGCGTTTTATTCTTAGTATTGTACTTAAAATATAATATATATTTTTTTGATCATAATAAAATGACCTGAAAATTGTCCGCGTTATGTTTTATGTTAAACACTATTTGTCTCTGATCATCTCTGCGCATTGTCCCGTGAAGTATTTGTCGCCTAAGGCGGTCTTGTTGTGTTTATTAAATGTTTTTCATTTGCGGATGCTTGCCGTTACAAAAAAAAAACTCAAGTACTTAACAGAGAGAAAAGGCAATTTCAAAAAAACAAAAGTATATAAATAACGCGTTTTTTAATAATAATAATAAGAAAAAGTCATAGTACAATTTAATATCGGGTGCAAATATAATAAAATGTAAGAAAATAATAACTAAGTTCAGGGTGTACAGAAATCTGTTTTTATGTCATGTAAACGTTGGGTTTATATACAGGGTGATTGTTTTATCGTGAGCCAGTCATTATCTCATATAGGGTTTAATTAAAAATAGTTAAATTTTCTTTTTCAAAGTGTTTTTGTGATCTCAATTTTTTACAGATTTCCATGTTCCTACCAGCCTCCAAAATTAATTAATTTTATTTCAACTTTTGAAACTTATATGGATACGCATACATTTCACTTTTTTTTAAAAATTCAGAATAATGTACTAAACATTTTGACCGGTCGATAATCAGTTTTGAACAACTATTTTAAAGTTATAAGAGTTCAACATTTCTGCGCGCACTTCTCTTTCCGTCCTAACTTTTAAAGTCTTATATAACATTAAAAATAGTTATTCATAACCGGTTACTAACCAGTCAACGTTTTTAGTAAAATATTCTTAATTTAAAAAGTTAATAAAATATGTACGTTACCATTTAAGTTACAAAAGTTGATATAAAAATAATAAGTTTGGTATGGGGTTACAAACATACAAATGTGTGAGATATTGAGATTACATTGTTTATAAAAACTATGCAAAAGAAAAAAAAATCAATTAATAATTTAACCCTATATGAGTTATTGAGCCCCTCACGATAAAAAAATCACCTTGTATAACAGATATCACGATTTTCTTATTTTAAGTTTCAAAACCAATTTGTACGAGCCGTCACTTCCAACTCGAAAACGGTTTTACAAATGTTTTTTAAGTCAAAAAGTTTTTTTTTTTAAAAACTTCATGTATAATAATTATGACATTTACAAGTCTATTGTCGATAAAATGATAAATTAATATAAAAAATCATCGCTTACCGTTTTGCGCCATAGTATTGCTCTGTACTGAGGCACACACTGGTGGTTAGCGTCTGTCAGCACTACGGATAAGAAAAACGGTACTTTCTCCGCATCCGAGCCAACATAGTTTTGGTGAACTGTTGACATTTTTTAAATTGTGGTTAATTATTATTATACATTTTTTTTACCACCCCAAGAGCGATCGTGACAGAAATTTGCAGTCAACTCACTTTTTCCTAGGAAGTATTTGAAATACCATCTGGTCTGGAACTCGGGGTTTTCCAAAACTGGCGTACAAGGAGAACCGAACATCTAAAACAAAAATGTATTCATTCTTATCATTATTATTTATTAAAACAGCCAGTACAGATAATATACATTTTTTTTTTATAATATAATATACATTAGGTAATATAAAAGCAAATTAATAAATTATACCAGTACAACGCATAATGTAATTCTTAAGGTACATTAACTATAATTATTGTTAAAACAACTTGTTCTTTTACATTGTTTTATGTATAATAATTGGTATGATCAAGCGAAATTGTTCTTGCTTGAATGATCCTTTCACAAAAAAATTAAAATTTTCACCTCTATTATTCGTCCCCAGCCGGAATATGCTTCAATTATACAGGAAACATACACTAGGCCATAGTGGTCAAATTGAATAAGTTCAAAATATTTGTCTTCGTTTTATTTGTTTCAAATCCAATTGTAAAGACCCCCTCACTCCAGGCTATGACGATATTCTTAATTATTTAAATTTAAAACCTTTAAAAGATAGAAGAGACTTTTACTATATGAGATTTCTATTTAAACTACTTAATAACTATATTGACGACTCTTTCCTACTATCCAATATTTCCTTAAAAATAAATAACTATATTATCGGAAAATATAAAGACTTATTTTATATTCCCAAAACTATATGCAATGTATACTTTTCAATATTTGATTATCCGTCGGAAATAAAATGAATAATGTAGAATTTTTTAAACGATAAATGTATACCTATTGTATGTATTCTTAAGATACATTTACTTTATACATAACTTTACCCAGGCTAGATTATGTTGATGTTCACGTTATTATCTATAATATAATTTATATATATTATACTACCCCTATTTTAGTAACATAAATTATTATCATAATACAAAATTTATAGGTAAACGTCCAAAGTCGTGATAGATACTAGTGAATTAGGTTCAATTTTATGAAAAATGATTTATTACTATAAAATGTAATTATTATTGTACAAAATAATAATAACAAGGCGCGGTACCTACAACACATGATAGATCTTTAAGATAATGTGGGACGTATTACACTTTATATTATAGCAAAATCTGTTGAAATATTTTGTTAGTCTGACATGATTTATTCAACGGTTTTCGCGGTGGGTGTGTATACATTTTTTTTTATCCTCGCCGATGCGGTGTTACCGACTAATATGAAAATTGAATAAGACTCACGCTAAAGCACTATAAAAGCATTAAACAACTAAAAAAACCTTTTAAACGATTTTTATTGCGCAATATATGTACCTACAATATTGTTTTTACATAAATAATAAAAAAAAATTACAATTAAAACTCAATAATTATCTAATTTCGATTCGATCGAACATAAACAACTAAAATGATTTTATTTAATTCAGAAGAATTTCTCAAACAATAAGTTGCTGTTAGGTATTCGTTTTTGAATTATTTAAAAGTCGCCATGTAACTTTGCCGGAAGTAGATAATAAAAATTATAATATTCCAATAGAGATTTACATATTCTCGGTTGGAGACTTTGTTGTTTTCTATATATATTGAATCGAGGTAAAAAAGAAAACGGATTTCAACTTTACCTTAAATCTTCTTTGGTTAAGCTCCTGTCACCTACACGGCAAATACTTTTTATATCTATATGTCTGTTTCTATATTATTATGGTGATGCGCAGTATAGAGTGTTCGAATGGAAATTGATCGATTGTGTGTGCGTGTGTGTGTCTTTTCATGTCGATAAAATAAAATATAACTACGTGGTAATTTTTTTTTACTAAGGGCGGCCTATTTAAAATAATATAACAAATATATAAAATGGCCTGTTGGCCGTTGAAAGAAACAAAGCGAGCGTGTACTATAATAATGATTCCATTTTGGAAAATAACGACGTTCCCTTAGTTTCTTTTACATTATTATAAACGTACGGATTTTTCGTTTGGCCACCATAAAAGCACAGTATCGCGCCGGAAACCCCTTTTTTAATGACCGAAAACGTGCGAACCGATCTCTTTTATCTACCGAATTCTACTTTAAGTGCGTATAACGCACTTTGTCTATACACATTTAATATTACTCGGGTGTCGGAAAATGTCGAGTCGTTAGTTTGAACGAAATCGGATACAGATATAGTACATAATGTACTAGAGGACAGACAATACATTTATCATGGCGGACTCGTGGCCATGTGTGACCAGTGTAATAAAAATAAAAATAATACATTGATGGCTTTTCTTTAAATTAAAAATATTTAGAAATTAAACTAACCGAAAAAAAATTAAAATAATAGAAATTCGTCCTAATATGTATTGTCATTGATAAACATTTAACTAACACTTAGAAAATGTTATTACTACACTAATAAGTGTTTATTATTATCTAATAATTTTGAATATCTTGGTCTATGTATAGTTAACTCTAATGAATAGTATACTGTGTCTGTTTCGCAACTCTTTAAATATTTGTTCGAACAATGTTGTTTATGTATAATGTATCATTTAAAATAGGTATCTATTAAAATAGTTAGAGTCTAGCGATAGTAAATGGTAACTTGTGATGTATGATAACAGTTTATTGATAACAGTGTCTTGACCATTGATAAGAATCGTCATTAGAAATTATTAATAGCCAGCATTTATAACCACCGTTACCACATGGGTAACTTACTGTACTCTTCAATTATAATATAGAATGACCTCTATCCGTTTATTTATTATCTCTGTTGGTTGTGATATAGGCGTAGTTCAATTTATGTATAACAAGCATACATTTATTATTAACGTTTCGAGATTAATCGATAACATTAATGGTTAACATGTTTACATTATAAATGTATTTATTTACTGGAAAATAATAGTTTTGATTTTATAACCTAAACGCATCAACTATAAATTAATAAAACCAAAAACACCCTATATCATATATTTCGACGTAGGTATACATAAAAGGTAAATAGATACCTATTACGAGTGGAAGCAGTGAAAACACCAAAATATATGTGTTATAATTTATGACTGGAAATTATAAAGGACGGAATTAACGATAATATTTGTACAGCATTAATGTTATAATATAAATGGAAAACAACGGAAGCGTTTTACGGATTAATACCCATGTAACATATTATATATATTGTTTAACACTTATTGTTGACTTAATTAATTTTCGTTTTATTATAGGTATGTTATTTTTTATGAAATAAATTTTAATTTGCGAACGTCTAGTTACGGCGTGTTAGTTTTATATCGTTATTATTGATTGTTTATATTTAATAATACCACTTTGACGGTTGTTGGTACGACGTTAGACCGTTATAAAAATTGTTTTTTAAACAAACACATTGTAATATCATTACGTCCTGTCAAATGGTCAGATTGAGCACGTGCACTCATGCGTATGTATGTGTACAAAATGTATAGTAAACACTCACTTAACTGCTTGGTTTGATGTTATACAATATTTTTCAACGCATGTCAGTCATCATTTTATCACAAATTAAATAAAACCAGATGAGCACTCTAAAAAAAATCGAAAAATGTAAACAAGCTTTAATAATCTCAGTCCAGCGTGACCAACAAATGTAAAAAAAAATAATTCTTCTGTTATATAGTGTGGTCTGTGAAATTATAACAAACATCTGTAATGTTGTATCACCATCAACCTTCGTTAATCAACCAAGGACAATAGATAATATTATCTATTACTATTATTATCTATTGACCTTGTTTATCAACTACTTGTTATCAGTGATTCTTGTCAATTTATTTTATTATTGTAAATAGTGTGTACAATATTTTCGGCACTATAATTTGGCCCAACTACATTATTAAGTTTAAACCAATAAAAAATCTTTATTTAAAAATGTATTATATTACTATGAAGTGTCACTATCTGGTTTTATTCAAACTGTGATATTGTCATACTCGGTCGGTGCTGACGGGTTACGCTATTATTTATGAGTTTTTATTTCAGTTTTTGCTTGTTTGCTCGTTCAACACACCCGCAAACTGAGTTTTGTTATATCTAATATTTAATTATTTCAATTTTCACCAACACCACAAGATGTAACAATACGATTTAATAATCAACTACCTTATTTATGTTCTCCACCACTCTTCTCCATATCACAGTTCCATAGTCAATAATTAAAATCGACTACCTACTGTCCTTTCAATATTTTAAGAACTAAATTTAAATATTGGCTTTCGCTGTTTTCTTGTTAATCTATATTAGCGTTTAAAACACATTATACTCGTATTGCTCCGTTAAAAAATCGTAGGACCTCTTGGAACTCATTGGCATAACAATAGGCAAACTTGTAATGTATTTTATTTAAATTATAAAAAGAACACCTATATATACCTAGCACTCGAGTCGTTGAATTCAGCGCATTTACAGGTAGGCGTTTGCCGGTTACAATGGACGCCGGTTGACCATTAACGACTGCGTGGCACACTATTAATAATATGCTCATTCAAAGTATTCACTTGTGTATATTATTCAACGCGAAACGCAAAATTTTTATTCGTGGTTTGCTGTTTTTTTATTTAAATGATTTATGGTGTATGATGTTAATATAAAACGATTTCATTTCAAAAATTATTATATCAGAGCACAATTTATGTTTTATATAAATATATATACATATATGGTATACGGCTAGTCTCATAATAATAATAATATGATTTTTCGCTAAACATTACTTCACACGTATGCAAAATAATATAGTTATTATTATGACTGAAAATAAAACGTTCTAAACGATATTACTTTTTTACTTGTTTAGTTTAAAAAAAAATCAAGTTAGTATATTATGGTAATTGAAATGAAAAAAAAAAATTAATGTTGATGTTGTTGTAGGAAAAAAACTAAAATTCTAAACACTAATAGTGAGAAGACAGATATTTAAGTAAGCGTTTTTAAAATTAGGTATTTAATTGTATTGTTTCTATTCAAACGTTACATTTACTTTTACATACTTTTGGGGATTATCACAAAAATCCTACTCTACTATTATAATTCAACGATTTACTAGATGGTATTTGCTTTTGGTGGAATATGAAATTCTTATAATATTTTGTCACTCCTACACCGATAGCCGTTCTCTGTTTATATTTTAAATTCAAAACCAAATGGGTTGAAATAGTTTTAACGGCGTGTCGACAGTTCGTTTTATACTACTGTAACGTACATATATTGTATTTTTATGAAGGTAGCATGTGTGCTCGTTTGTTTATACAATACAGGTTTGCTACCATTAAGGTTTTGGGTAAATGTATTAAAGCTGTATGGTCGATAACTCAATATCCTACCGCTTACAGCAGGTGTCTACGATGGGCACATTAAACCTGAGTAACAGCTTTTTTTCTATACCGACCGATATTTAAAATAATAAAAAAACAAAATAGTTTTTATTGTACATGTTAAATAGCGATTACAGATTGGCTAGAAAAATAAAGTAGGCGATACAATATTTTAATTAAGAATTTACTACCAAAAAACCGTCCTAGTTATTGATGTAATAGCTAAACATCACAGTTTAACTTTTATTTAAGGTTTTGCGAAATTGCCTGTACTTTACTCATTAGAAACGAGGCCTGGATAGCGTCCTCTTAATGATTCATATTTTATTTTGTTTTTTTTTAACTACTTTGTTTTTTTGTATTTTGTGTTATTTAATTGTAATTCAATGGCAAGCTTGTTCTATTGGGCTTCGTGTTCGTTAAATAAAATGCAATAAATAATGTATATTCATTTATTTTTACATGTTTTTTTTTTGTTTTACATTAGTAAAACGATAGCAATTCCACTGTCGATATTTATTATTCATGTTATCCGTATGGAAATCAAGTCAATAATAATTATCGTGGAATGTTTTTGACTCTGTTGAATCGATTTTTTGGTTACCCTTGTAATTTTGTACTTGCCTTCGACACGTCAAATAAACGGTGTTGTTGTAATTACTTTATTTGCTTGCCGAAAAGTCAATACGTTTCACTTTTGTTGGACGTATTAACAAGAAGGTTTCTGATTGATTATTTGTGTTTTTTTTTTTGAAAAGTTTATTTTGTTTTTATATTTCAAGACGATAAACTTGAGTAACATAACACTGTGTATTACTATTGTGCTATTGTGGTTGTTAACGAGTAGGTAGGTACGAGTCGACAATTTATTATTGTGAAGAAAAACTAGTCTATGAATACTAGTTGAAATTTATTGTCCCTTTAAGAAAACACATATTTATAAAGTTAGGCTTAATAATAATATACATTTAAAATGAAAGAAACTCCATCCCTTAATTCATTTGTCAAAAATCACTAAAAATGGATAATATGCCAGATTGGAATACTGATTCCGGCTATTAGTTGGGTAAATTTAAGTGTCGCAACTCAACACCGAACTTTGAGATCGCACTTTGTATAGGTCATTAGTTTAACAGTTAAACTTGATAAATTACTGACAGGCCTTCTGAAAAAAAAAAACAAAAAACGAAGACTACTATAGGAGCATTTTAACGTTGTAACCAAACAAACGGGTAATTGTACACATCAAAATGATTTATTATACATTGGTAATTACGGCTTGGTTAAAAGATTTGTCACGAACATAAATTGTTATAATAATAGCGTTGAAAAAATACAACACCCATTTATTTGTAGGTCCAGCAAAGGATCATACATAATTTTCAATTCAAGCGCTCGTTTTGTTCTCTATAGAATTTACATATTATTTCAATTAAAATATACAATAGGATTTTTGACTGCAAATTGTATTTAACCTAACCGATTGCATAATTTATTTTATTTTATATTAAATTGACACTACACTTCAAGCTGTAGTTTAGCGCTTTGTTTATTTTGTTCGAGTAAATCAATTTTTTACATAAAGCTATATGAACGTGACGTGCAATCGAAAGTTTAGATGAAAAATAATTGATTTAATTTCTTCAGACAATAACCATAATTGTTATTGTTACAATGCAACTAAAATTTAATGATATATGAGCACAACGCATACCAAAAGTATTAACATATTTTTGTTAAAAAATAGATTAGTTTTAACGTGGTCGGTGTAAAGCACATATACAAGGAGTTCAAAATCTCATGTAACGCCCGGTTTTTTAATGATAAAATAACATTTTAAAAAAACGACCGGCGTGAAACATTTTTAATTTGTATTAAATAATAATAACTTAAAATTGTTTGTGAGTATGTGTATTTTTATGTCCTCGATTCCATGAAAATAGCAAATTTATATGTAAGGTCACTCGTTTGACATATTCAGTGTTACCTTTAGCTTTTGTACACACTATATATACATATAAATATATTATATGCTAGGATAGGATATAACATAGGTACATCAGTCTGCAAACGACAGCTGAATGCTTTAATGCGCGACAGATCAGAGACAATTATTTGTGTTATTCATATTCACTACAACGAGCATGGCACGCGCAATCAAGTATTAAAATAATAAATATTTTTACAGTCCAGTTATTAGAGTTAAATAGAAAAGAAGGATTAGTAAATTGTTAAAGCTACTCAAAAACCTTGACGTGTGAATGTATTTTCCAGAAAACGTCGGATGCTATATGTAAAAATGACAAGGTTGTTTTTCACATTTTTGAGAAATTCCTTTTTTTAGCTGGCGTCCGTTGTCTTACTTGATCGGAAGTAGTAGTGAGATAGAAAGGAATACTTCATCGTTTGATATTTTTATCTATTAACTAGGTGTGTTTAGTGATCTAAGGTAAGACTACAATGGAACTTGAAACTAAAAGTCATTAGTATCAAAGAGTATCTATTATACAATATAATATGGAAAAAATATAAAATTTAATCAAACATCTGATTTTTAACTGCTTTCCCATCTAAGCTTTAACCTAAACACTATTAAAATATGATTTTTAATTTAATGCATTTACCTCTTCTTTCTCTCCAAGCGAGTCGCCGTTTTCTATCCGAAATCTCCTCCTTCCGGGCTCTTGACCGGAAGCATCCAGTTGTGGCAACTGAAACAAATAAAACGAACAATATTTGTTTACTTGTATTTTTGTTGTGTATGCGTTTTATATATGGTCCAATAACAGCGATGCAAGTTTATAAAACACTTAGGGTGGGCTGAGAGAATTTTACTACGGTAAGCTACAAAACGTTCAAACCTCGACACTATTATATGTAATATCTGTAGTGCTCCAAAATGTGTTCAAACCGCACACCCTTTACTCTCTGGAACCATTACAAAGTCGTTTGTGCAAATATTCCAAATCCCTTTATCTCTCAATTAGACTGTGACTCAATTTCTAGAAGGTAATCCTCAATGAGGGCTAAAGCGTTGTTAGCGCAGAGATCTAAATCCAAACCAAAATTCCATAAAACCGTTTCGCCTAGAAGGGACGGAAACTTTTTTTTTATTTCTCTTTTTCAAACAAAGTCATAAGACTTAAGGTCTGTAAATTAGTCTGAAGGTATATCTAGAGTGGGGTTACCGTAATACTTAAAAATATACAGTTTTAAATATGTTATGGCTTTTATCGAATTGTCTATTTCTACCATCTAAAGATTCGCATCGGAGCGTTTATCTGAAAGCTATTGTATCACATTCAGTTTCTCAAGACCTGTGATCTCCCCTACCCCGCAACATGTTCCGTTCCCTTTACGTCCCCTGACCCCACTGTGCTGGTTTTTTAACTTTACCATTTTTTTCTTGTTTTATTAACTATCACTATCTAAACTACGGAATTGTTTTCAACCTGTAACAGCACTAATAATCACTACTGTGGACAGCGACGAATGTTGTCGAGTCACGTGTGATCCCAATCAACCTAACTGTACTTAAGGTCGAGTGTGTTCGGCTGCCATTCGCTTTGTGTGGAAATCAGTTTTGTTGACTTTGTTGTGTGCGCAAATACCATGCAATAACCGAGAGTGGCTGAGTCGAGTTGAGTTTGTAGTATTGAAACCGCGTTCCGAGGTTCTACATTGACGTGACTTTATAATATATATATATATATATGTATAAAACAAGTAGACCCGTCGATTCGTTATCTTTTGACACGACTTATACCAAAGTTTTGCTTACCCCCTCCTACCCCCGTCAAAAAAAAAAAAATACATGCGAGTAATTGGTAAATGCCACAAGACGTGGCAAGCGGGTCGGAAAAGACTACAACAACAATAAACGCCCACCGTCGGGTTTGGATTTATTTTTCACTTCCTTATTTTCATTGGTAACGCGTAATCATTAAGGCACAAAATGTAAAAACATAATAATATGTCACTCGATATATGCTTAACACAAACTCGGATGTAAATCCTGTGTAAGTTGAAAGCACATCAAAGTCAAAATCAAGGCAATCGAGTCGGTGTTTTGCTCGAGAAACGCTGTTGAAAGGAGTGACTGTAGTTACAATAGGTAGGGGGTGTGTACGTTTTAATATGATTTATTACAGTCATTATAAATACATGCGATTTATCACCTTTGTTTAAAACGTTTATTCGATACGCGTTTACACCTGTGTTCGAATCCAGCGAATGCCTTTGGAAATCAGATTTCTTTAAGCGCTTTTGACAATGATTGTATTTTTTTTCAAAATGTTTATAGAGATTAAATTTCGAATAATCTTTATTTTACACTCGGCGCATTAACATTATTATAATAGTAATTTACCATAACGATATTACACACTCACATCCACCAAATAAAACATCATAACCATAGTATCATCGCATAGGCTCTTGCCGTTGCATCGTGTAATTTAAAAAGCACCTAAAAATCGCATTCGGACCAACATTACAAACAATAAGAAGCATTTATATACAAAACAGCTGGTGTGTAAAAAATCGGAGAAGCCTCGTTAACGACGATCGAGAATAATTTATACAGAGAAATTATATTTTTTAGGGACAATAAATAACCGGAATATAAACATGACTTGATAATTTAGGGGAAATTATTGTACTGGAAAATATTTCACAAGATATTCAGACTCGTGAAAGTATACACCTATTCCTTATTGGTTTGATCTCATTAGGTCAGTTACCGTTAAAAAAATAAAATCAGGTAAGTTATCCAAGTCGGGTCATACAGTTAGGTTGGGGTAGGATAATATTCGAACATAATTGAAGTATGTATGTTATTAAAAAAAACTAAATATTTCTGTTAAACATGGCGCACAAAAAAAAAATGTTTAATTAATTAAAAATATATTATTGCGATATGGGTTTGTATTGCCCCTCATTTTTATTATTATTTAAAGTATAACTATTTTTTTAGAGACGTTGTCAATGTTATAAAAAAAAAGTCGCGATAAAACCAATTAACAGTTATATGTAATTATAATTAAAAATCATCAGTTGATCCTCGATTACATTAGTAATCATGAATATTATTATAAAAAACTCAGTTAATAACATATTTTAGTTAATTAAAAAATAACTGATTTGTGATTATTACAACTCTTAATTTGTTTCTACTCTCTAATAGCATATTTAAAAACAAAGTCATATTATTAAATATATTTAATAATATAGCTTTATTTTGTGTATTGGAGAATACTTAGGAAACATAACGATTTACAGTTTTAGCTTCGTTGTAGATCTAAGAAGGTATTTTTTTACAATAACTATTTTTATTTTATTTTTGTATTCTATTTCCAAGCGTTTAAGTGAAAGTGATTTTATCACTTTCGGAAATAACCAAGAAGAAATGTTTAAAATAAGAAACATTTCCAAAAGTCTACCTTTGTCGTTGTGAATACAAATCCTTTACGGTGAATATATTAAATATAGTATTAGGGTTACGCGTCTCGTTTCGTTTATGCGTTTACCTATTCAATAGGTCCTATTGTATAACAGGTGAACAAAATAATACAATATTTATATCGAAATGAAAAACTATAAAAGAGGGAAAATCTGTTTATAGAAAGTGGCCAGGGCGCGAAAGCGACAGCGCAAACAACTTTATAGGACATGCACGTTAGAGCGGTTATGAATAGTAAGTATTAAAAAAAAATAATAAAAAATAAAGGACCCTTTCAGGAATACTGCCTACAAAATGCCAAAGGGGACATGTCAAATATAAGAATTAAAAAAAAGAAGGTAATTCTGTGTCAAAATAAATGATGAATAATGTAAATATTTTTACATCTCGGAATAGTAAACAGTTTATTATTTTCTCGACGTGCATAATAATATACTACCTTATAATATAGTGTAGGTCGAGCGATACGCCTTTGATCCGATAGTCAACTGAATAGGTATGCCCCGTAGGTAAATTCAATGTTATAAGAACATTAAAATAATAAGACAATATCCGAAAATTTATGTGAATTCGTACCAAGAAAATGGCGTTTGGGTGCACAACTTATCCGGTATATACGTCAGCATCGTATTTCACTATAATTTTTTTTTTAATATCTTTATAATATTTAATAATGCGTGACGCTGCGATTTCGTACACAATAATAATATTATATAGTATTACACGACCTTAACGAGTACCGAAGTTATTTAATATAGGTACAGAGCGATCAATTTAACGTAAGACACTTATTCTCACGGAAAGCAATAACAATTTTATTGTTTTTCTTTTTGAAAACGCTTTTTTTTTAATATACGGCGTTATTTACAACATTATAAAATTATTAAATACATACCTATTTTAGTATTTTCCAGAGCGCTAACAGTTTTTGAAATTGAAACGGTAACGTCTAAAATTAACCTAACTTTTAAAATTAACAAAAATTTGCCGGACATTTTTTTGACTGGTCGATAACTAGTTGTCGATAATTACTTTTCAAAGTAGACAAAAATTATGCTATACAAATTATAAGAATAATATTATTTAATTAGATAAAAATAATACTTCACTGTACCCGCCCTCCTGTTCACAGCTTTAATAACTTTAAATGTAAATATCTAAAACTGGTTGTCGACTAGTCAAATGTTCAACAAATTAATCTTAATTTAAAAAGATAATTCAATATGTAGGTACTTTACCGATAATGTTTAACGCTCTGGAAAATATTAAAAAAGGTAAATAATATTTCGTAATTTCATAATATCATACAATAACATAAATAAAAGTGTTTTCAAAAAAAAAAAAAATTTTATAATGTAATAATTTTCTAAGAAAATGAGTGTCTTACATTAAATTGATCACCTTGTTTTAGACACAGCTAGGAGGTGAAAGGAGTGTAATCGAACAAAGAAAATAATCAAAAACCATTAAGATAAAGACCACAAACACTTATAACCACAGTTGGAAATTTACATAAACTCGATAATTTATTAAGAATAAGAGGGCAAAAAAAAATATCTAATGAGTTTGTCTGATAAAATATTAGTGTAGTTTTTAAATTCATTTTTCATTCATATGTATATGTTTGTGTATATATCATTATAGTGGCATCCTTTCACCACTAGGTTTACATTAAATTGACTATTAAAAGTGAGCGAGCATACACATTTTACAATAAATTTTACCATATTTTATTACCACGTATATCTCGTTGTGTATTTGAATAAATATATAATAGTAAACAACAAGTAATTAGTTTGTCAACACATTAATTATCCACCTCGTAGTGAATTATTATATCTCAATAAATTATCACTACGTTCTATACATAATAAAAAAACATAACCGAATAGAGTAAACTCGTCTACTGCTAAATATGTAATTAATACCGACTCAGTTGTACCTATTAAGATTATTTAAAAATGTCAATAGAAATGTATTTTGATGATTTTTCCAGATTAACGTTATTGCTTAACAGAGGCGAGGATTGTACTTAGTGTTCTCGACGTTTTTGTACAGCAATATGGAATCGTATCTTTTTTATCCTCAACAATTTTATTTGGACATTTTTTTATTTATATTATTCCTATTGACTATACTGTTCACTGAACACTGGCGCTGATTGCACTAAATATTTTTGCAGTTGTCCTGAAACGCTGAAATCTGATTGCGCGGAATTACTTCATCGAAATTAGCTAGGTATTCGACGTT